CATGCCCTGACTTAGATCAGCCCAGAGGTTGTTTCAGGGTTCGATCTGTGAGTTAGCCGTGCCCTGACTTAGATCAGCCCAGAGGTTGTTTCAGGCCAATCTAACACAAAGCGGGAGTAGCGGCACCTCAGAAAAGACTGCGTCGTGCAGCCATAAAATAACATGTAATCTTCTGATAATAGAAAATTATAGTTACGGTGGATGGTTTTGGTTTGTTGAAGCTCAAAACTTAAAGCTTGCCGTACTTGGGAGGTGTCTGCATCAGTGATGTCCATATTACACAGGTATATATCCGTGATATAGGGGTTTTAGAATTGCGAAGGTGAGATAGATGTCCGTATTTGACAGGTCATTGAATTGTTTAGGCCACATAGAGGTGTTCGTATTACACAGGTATCCGTGATATAGGGAGTTTTAGAATTGTGAAGGTGAGATAGATGTCCGTATTAGACAGGTCATTGAATTGTTTAGGCCACATAGAGGTGTCCGTATTACACAGGTGTGTTTTATGTGTATTCAATGCTCTCAGGCTCAGCACGACATCACTTATATGGTCTTTGAAAACTCTCAGTCATTGAATTGCAATACAACACATTAATTCCATAAGACAACTTAGTGGTTTCCACAGTCAAATCTTTCCTATAAAGTCAATATTTCTTAACTTTTATCTCGACTCTTCCCTTGTTTCGGGTCGATCATTTTGATGGTCTAGACAAATATTTCTCTTTCCCTATTGGGGAAAATAATGGCAAAAATATTCAGATGAATGCAGACGAGAAAATATTCCGCTTTATATTTTAGGTACATAAATATTTTTAAGGCAAAATTATTAATAAAGAGACCATGAATACTTCATAATAGAGATTTTTTCCCCCATAAAATAGTTATTTTTAGAAGATTTTTTAATTGAAACGTTTTCATTTATTTTATCTTTAATTCTTTACACTTTACACGTTTAGTTTATATTATTTTAAGAATATATTATTTAGTAATATCTATAAAATATTTATTTTTTGAAGTTTTTTAATGTAAAACGTTTTCATTTATTTTATCTTTAATTTTTTACATTTTTGGGTTCATAAATAATTTTTATTCTTACTTTAGTAATACAGAGAGCAAAAATACTTCATCATATATATATAAATTTAATGAAGCACTTATTTTTTACGTATATTTTTAATGTGACTGATTTTTCGCTTTTACTTCGAATTCGTGGAATTCCGCCGGACATAACAATAATAAAAGAGAGAAAAAAATCGTTAAAACTGAAAAATATAAAAACTTCGTAAATGAGATAAGCTTTTTCATTAGCACGCTGTGTCAATAGAATCTATTGCAGTGTCGATACCTACGTCGAGTTAATCGTAGTTAATCATGGTGTATTTGATGCAGCGCGCTACAGTTGCAGAATTCGGTAGTTTTATTCAAGAAACGCAATATATGAGAATTCTGGTTGCATCTCGTATTTTTCCTTCCATCTTTTCGTCATTTCTTATTCCCTTTCTGCTTTCCCATTATAATTTAATTTTTAGTCTTATCATGAATTTCTCGAATTTTCGTATCTTATTTTCATTTCATTTTCTTTTCTCTTCTCTTTCCCTCCCGTGTTATGTTCTAATTCCTCTTCCTACTCCTGTATTTTTTTCTCCTCTCCTCTGTTGTCTTTTCCTTTCTTACTCCTCTTTCTTTCTCCTCTCTTCTCTTCTGTTCTCTTTTCTCTTCATACTCCGACCCTCTATTTTTATTTTATTTTCTCTTTCCTATTCTTTCTTTTCGGTTTTGCAATTGAGTGTTAGATTTTTGGGAGAGGAAAACTGAGAAAAATCACCAATCCAAAAATATACTATTCGATAATTTAAACTCATAACTCTTTGTCTAAACTTTCGATATCATTCCTGTTTTCTCTCGTTCGAAACCATCACAGGATTAAATTTTCATTATTCAAATCCCTCCCCGTCAAAAATGTCATTTCTTATTTATATATTTGATTGACTGAATACATATATTTTCTCTTTTTCAAGACATTCAGGCTAAATTTTAAAGTAAACAAAAAGGTTTTTCTATTTTGAATCATCATCAAATCCTTTGATATAAAAAAAGATATATTTCTTCCTTTCTAGATATTGGAAAATTACCTAAAAGCATACACAGTCCTAAGGTGTTTGCATTTTTCATTATTTTCCAAATCCTTCACTATAAAAAAGTATTCGATTTATCAATTTTAAAACTGATTTTATAAATATGTATTACCTTCTAGATATTGAAATTGTTTTTTCAAAAACACACTTCTAAGGTGTTTGCATTTTTCATTATCCAAATCCTTCACTATAAAATATTATTCGATTTATACATCTTAAAACTGATTTTCTAAATATATATGTAARTGTTTCCTAATTTTTCTTGCCTTCTAGATATTGAAATTATTTTCTCAAAAACACATGCAGTCCTAAGATGTTTGCATTTTTCTTTATTATTTAAATACTTCAATATTGAGATCTTAATACTAGTCAGTAAAGAAAGAATTCTAATATTTCGCGTTTCCCTATTCATTAAATTCTTAAATAAGATCACGTATCGAAAATCATTGTTGATAACACTGTCGACTTAGCTTCGTCAATCTTCGAGTTTCATTATTTGAAGAGACGCGTAGACAAAGCTGTCAGGAATAGTTTGATCAAAATGAAATATGTGAAGAATGGAGCTAAAATATCTTTGGTTCAATCTCTTTCGCTTCACAGAATTTTTCGGTCTCGAAATGGGACAACATTGAGGCAAACTAAATGGGTCTATTCCCAAATGATTTGTTATGGGAAAACATTTAACCAAACTGAATGGGTCTATTCCCAAATGATTTGTAATGGGACAACATTGAGTCAAACTGAATGGGTCTATTCCCAAATGATTTGTAATGGGACAACATTGAGCCAAACTGAATGGGTCTATTCCCAAATGATTTGTAATGGGACAAC